ATTCTATTTCATTTTACTTCAATTATTAAACTGTTCTTATCTCAACCCACGAGTTTTCTGACTTTCACCCTTCCAATTCTCTCCCCCATCCCACTGGGGTGGGGGGAGTGAGGAAGTGGCTGTGTGGTGTTTAGTTGCTGGTTGGGGTTCAACCACGACAACACCTAAGATTACCAAAAAATGAACAGTAAATTTACACAAGTTGTTTTCTATTTTGTTTTCTATTAAAGCAGCCATGATATTAAATAGATTTGCTAACATGGGGTGGGGGGATGGGGGGGAAGACGATACTGAACTACAGAATTTTAGGTTGGAAGGGACCTCTGGAGATCGGAGTCCAACCTCTTACTCAGAGCTGAGATAACATCAAAGTTCAATCGGGTTGCTCAAGGCCTTGTCCAGCTGAGGTTTATCTCCTAGAATGGAGAGACCATCACCTCTCTGGGTGCCTCTTCCAGTGACTGACCACCCTCACGAAAAATATTTTTCCCCCCTCTCACACATAGTCAGAATCCTCCTTGCCATAGCCTGTGCCCATCACCTCTCCTTCTTGGCGGTGCACCTGAGAAGAGTCTGCCTCTGTTCTCCCTAACCACACATCTGGCAGTTGAGGATCATGATCAGATTCCCCTTCTCCAGGCTCACCAAATCCAGGTATCTCAGGCTTTTCTTGCACATCACATGCTTCAGGCCTCCAACCACATCAGTGCTTCTCTGCTGGACTCACTTCTGTTTCCCAGTGTTTTTTCTGTCCTGGAAAGCCCAGGACTGGACACAGTACTCCAGAAATGGCCTCACAAGTGCTATAAACAGCAGAATAACCACTTCCCTCAACCTGCTGGCTACCCTCTTGCTGATGCAGTCCAGTACACAGGCAGCCTCCATTTCTACAATGATGTACTACTGGCTTTTTCAACTAGTTGCTTACCAGGATCCCCAAATCTTTTTCTGCAAGGCTGCTTTCTAGTTGGCCATTCCCCAACTTTTACAGCTCCACCGTGCAAGACTTCACGCTTGTCATGCTGAACTTTGTGAGGTTTTACAATGTGAAGGAAATACAATGTTGGTATGCAAAAGGTAAAGTATAGAATGTAATCTCAGCTATCCCCACCCTCAAAAAGTGCCTGAAACATTACACAAAACCTTT